AGCGCCCTTCTGTCTCCGCGCTGTTGTCGCCGTGCTGATGACGTCGCAGTTTTAGCGACGCGGTTTAGTCGGGCGCGGTTTTGTCGTTCTCCCTTTTGTCGGGTCATGACAAAATACACCCAAACTAACTAATACTATTGACAGGGGATGCTGCATGTGATATTGGTATGACTAAGCTTGGTAACCTCATCCACTTTATCTTACTAAAAACTTAGGAGAAAGTTGAATGAAACAATGAAGATATTGGTGGAAGTCAGTATTCAGTGGCACATGGGAAATTGTGGTTTTAAATGAAAGAAGGGCCAATGGAAAAGCAAATGAATGAAATTAAAGAATGAAAAATAGGTACTAAATGTTAAATTTTAGTACCTGTTTGGCAAAGAAAGTCTATTTTGTATGCATGATAAAGGAACGAATGGCAAAGCATGATTGATTTACTTGTTTACAATCAAAAGTGAAGAGAATTAATGGAAGATACAAACAAGATGACAAACTGTGGATGTGGATTTGATATATGAAGAATATTTTCAGGAAACAAAGTGAATATGAAAGAAAAGGCAAAGTTAGGCAATTATAGGGAGTGTACAACATAAAAAAAGAAATCGGATTAATATCCTTACAATATGAACGATTACATTACAATACAATACAGTTTAATTACAATCATTACAATAACCATTAACTATATAAATTTGTTTAATAGGTAAATATTTTAACTGGATTTTTAATGCTGTACACTGCCTTACGTCACTGTGTATTTGTTAGGCAGTTATATACATTTGCTCAATAACTAAATAAAAGAATACATAAAGGAAAAATAGTGAAAAGGAAAAATTATGTGGAAGTTTTCTGAAATTAATTATGCTATGAAATTCCACAGAAATTTATGGAGTTACACTAATGTGAAATATTGAAAAGAATGGTAGAATGAACTAAAATAATCTATGGATGAGAAAAAACGCATGTGAGATCATGATTAATTAGAAAGAATTAGAGGAGAAAAATGTCTATTTGTTAAATTTATATGCAGCTCATCTCACTCGACAAGGGGCTCTACAAAATATTACATAACAAAGTTGGAAAAGGGTACTGATAGTTGCAAAGAATGTGTCCAGCCATACCCAGGAACAATGAATTTAATTAAAGAAAAGTAGAGAAAATCACCCATTTTGATGGAAATAAAATTATTTTGAGATGAATTAAAAAGTCTACACAAGAAGCTTCCAGTAGAGTAAACAGAATTATTATTATGGTTCATCACATAGTCAGCCGGATCCATCTATTCTATTGAGTCCTTCCTAAGGCCCTGGGATAGGCAGGTATTTAATAGTGTTAAAGTTATCATTGCTCCTGGATGTAAGCTGTTACAAATAAAGCTGCCTTTTGCAATTGATGGGTGGTGATTTTGCTGCAGTTGACAGACAATGATTTTGTTCAATTGATGGATGGTGATGATTATTATTATATCACACTTTTTATGTCTAACTCAAGCAGAGGTGGGTTCCTACCAGTTCGCACCTATTCGGTAGAACCGGTTCGTCAAATCTACCGAACCGGTTCGAAGAGGTTCCACCAGTGGACCCGG